AACCACAGGGAACAGCAGGGCCAGCCAGCTCCTACCCTGAAAAATAAAGATTCCAGCCTCCTTGACTCTTTTGGAAGAAAAATGTATTCATCCTCGAGCTTCCAGTTACAGGTGGTGAACCACCAGGCTCTCCTGGGCCGGTATGAGTTTAATCTGCGGGGCTCCCTGCCCAAGTTCGAGGACTCCCAGGAGTGCGACAAGAAGGAGTTCAAAGTGCTGGTGGAGGAGGGTACAGTGGCTGCCAGGGCAACCCTGCAGGCGGCTTCGGATGCAGCAGACACGGCCGCGCGGTCCATGGACTCCGCGGTGTCCATGAGAGGGGCATCATGGCTCCTGCTCAGCCCACCCACTCAAAATACGAGACTGCTTATAAGAAGTCACGGGACTATAAGAGGTGCCCACAGAGGCAGTCTCGGCCTACCCCCCAGCCTGGGTCCTCCAAGGGCAAGCAAGCGGGACCGTTTTGACAGGATGCCTGGAGGCGCCCTGCCAGTTCTCATCAGGGATCCACCCTCAGTAAAGCTTCCCTTCTCCAATCGGTTGTGTGCTTTCCTCCTGGAATGGTCACGGCTAACCTCAGACTGATGGATCTTCAACACCATCTCCCGGGGCTACACCCTCCAATTTACTTCCTCCCCGCCCAACCACCCCCCGTCCCCGTCCCTCCTGGGGGACCCTTCGCACGAGGCTCCACTCGAGCAGGAGCTGGGGCGGTTCTTGGGCCTAGGAGCGATGGAAGTGGTACCCAGGGAGTTCAAAGGCAAGGGGTACTACTCCTGCTATTTCCTTATCCCGAAGGCCAAAGGGAGACTCAGGCCCACCTTGGACCTGTGAGGCCTGAACCAATACATGGTGAAGCTCAAGTTCCACATGGTCTCCCTGGCCTCCATCATCCCCTCCCTGGATCCCGGGGACTGGTACGCCGCCCTCGATCTGCAGGACGCGTACTTCCACATTCATATATTTGAGGGGCACAGACGCTTTCTCCGTTTCGCGGTGGGGCAGGAACACTAGCAATATACGATCCTCCTGTTTGGCCTGTCCAGTGCCCCCAGGGTATTCACGAAATGTATGTCGGTGGTGGTGGCCTACCTCAGGCACCGGGGGGTCCAGATCTTCCCCTATCTGGATGACTGGTTGGTCAAGGGCAGCTCCCAGTCGCAGGTGCAGGATCACGTGGCAGTCTTTCTGTCCATGTTCACCACTTTGGGCCTGTTGGTAAACAACACCAAGTCCACGTTAGTCCCGGTTCAACACATAGAGTTTATTGGGGCGGTCCTGAATGCCTCGTGGGCCAGAGCCTCCCTCCCACCGGATAGGCTAGAGACCCTGAATGGGCTCATTGACACGGTCACAAGGTTTCTGGTGACAACAGCCAGAGCGTTCTTCCAGCTCTTGGGTCAATGTCGGCATGCACGTATGAGGTCCGTCACTCCAGATTCAGGATGAGGCCCCTCCAGTTCTGGTTGGCCTCGGAGTTCTCCCAGGCCAGGGATAGGATGGACAAAGTCCTCACAGTACCCGAGCCAGTGACGACCTCCCTACCGTGGTGGTCCTCCCCGAGAAACATGCTCCACTGGGTCCTGTTCAGGGGCAGGACCCCGTTGCTGGAGCTGGTGTCCGATGCATCGGACCTGGGATGGAGGGCCCATGTGGGAAATGTTCAGACACAAGGTCTGTGGTCGGCTCGATCTGACCCTCCACATAAACGTCAAGGAGCTCAGGGCGGTACGGCTGGCGTCCATGGCCTTCTGCTCGTACCTGGCGGGCTGGGTGGTCAAGGTCCTCATAGACAACATGGCCTCAATATTGTACATCAACAGGCAAGGTGGGGCCCGATCCTTTACACTCTGCCATGAAGCCCTCAGGCTGTGGGACTTTTGTATAGCCCACGACATCTGCCTACAGGCCTTCCATCTGCTGGGCACCTGGAATGCATGGGCGGATCGCTTGAGCAGGGACTTCTCCTCTCAGCACGAGTGGTCTCTCCACCCAGAGGTGGTGCACAAACTTTTCCAAGTGTGGGGAACTCCTCAGATGGACCTGTTTGCGACTCGGCAGAACTGTCGCTGTCCCCGTTTCTGCTCTGGGGGAGGCTGGGATGGGGCGCTATCTCCGATGCCTTCCTCCTGTCCTGGTCAGGCCAGTTTGTCTATGCCTTTCCCCCGTTCCCGCTGATCAACAAGGTCGTGGAAAAGATAAAGACAGACAAGGCCAGGGTCCTTCTGATTTCCCCGATATGGCTCAGGCACCATTGGTACGGGACCCTCACAGACCTGGCGGTTGCCCCACTGTGGCCGTTGCCGTCCCGCCCGGACCTGATCTCCCAGGACCAGGACCGCCTCCTCCACCCCAACCTAGTGGCACTCCACCTCACGGTGTGGCTGCTCAATGGTTAGGTAGGGAGGAAAGGACATGCTTGGAACGGGTTCAGGCTGTCCTCCTAGAAAGCAGATGAGTGAGGCGTTTTCCCAGTGGCCACCCCGATCCAGCTTATTCTGGACTACCTTCTTCACCTTAGAGCCCAGGGCCTGGCGCCCTTATCAGTCAAGGTGCACCTGGCGGCCATATTGGCCTTCCATCCGCCGGTGCAGGGCCATACGGTATTCTCCCATGCTATTACTGGCTGATTCCTTAAGGGGTTGGATCACCTCTTCCCATATGTTAGGCCCCCTGTTCCGCAGTGGGACCTAAACCTGGTGTTGGAGTGTCTCATGGGGTCCTCGGTTGAGCCGCTAGCCACATGCTCCTGGTCACACCTCTCATGGAAGGTGGACTTCCTGGTTGCAATCACGTCGGCTAGATGGGTCTCGGAGCTCAGGACCCTGACCTCTGTACGTGGTGTTTCATAATCATAAGGTCCAGCTCCGCCCACACCCTTCGTTCCTCCCAAATGTGGTCTCCGCCTATCACGTGGGTCAGGACATTTTTCTGCTGGTCCTCTGCCCCAAGCCCCATGCGTCCAGTGAGGAGCGCCGCCTCCACACGCTGGATGTGAGACAAGATCTGGCTTTCTACGTGGAGCGGGCTAAGCCATTCAGAAAGTCCTCACAACTGTTCATCTCCTCGGCCGAGCACCTGAAAGGTTGGCCGATCTCCACTCGGCGGCTCTCCAACTGGATCACCTCGTGCATCCGTACCTGTTATGACCTGGCGGGACTCCCTCCGCCACCAATTGTGAAGGCGCACTTGACTCGGGTGCAGGCCTTGTCGTCTCCCTTTTTGGCCCATGTCCCTTTTCAGGACATTTGTAGGGCTGCCACATGGTCTACAGTTCACATGTTCACCTCACACTATGCAATCGTCTCCCAGGCCAGGGATGACGCCGGGTTTGGCAGGGCTGTGCTCGGTCCCGAGAATTTGTGAACTCCTACCCACCTCCAACAGATATAGCTTGGAATCATCTATTGTGGAATACACATGAGCAATCACTTGAAGAAGAAAAGACAGTTACCTTTTCCGTAACTAGTGTTGTTCGAGATGTGTTGCTCATGTCCATTCCACATCCCGCCCTTCTTCCCCTCTGTCGGAGTTGTCTGGCAAGAAGGAACTGAGGATGGGGGGAGCGCGCAGCTCCCTTTAAACCGCGCCATGGAGGTGCCACTCCAGGGGTCGCTAGGGCGCTATCCTATGGGTACTGCTAGGGGAAGAACTTCCGGCACCGGTGCACGGGGCGAGCATGCACACCTATTGTGGAATAGACATGAGCAACACATCTCGACGAACACCAGTTACGGAAAAGGTAACTGTCGTCTAGCTCGTTCTCTGAAATGCCTTATCTATTTTGTCTTGATTTTCAGTTATATATGGGAAGATCTGGATGAACTTACTCCTTCCCTAAGAAATTTTGAAGAATTTAACTTAAACATAACTCTCTTCTCGCAAAAATTTACTTGAAAAAGCAAACTTCTAATTACCATTCATTGTATAGGAATATGTTTATGGATGTACAGCAAATATAGTTTTATGAATTAATGTATGTTCATATGTACAATATTGCAAATATTTATTTTATTATGTTTAATGTATTCAGTTTTTAAAAATACATTGATAAATGCCTATCTAGTGCTCTGGGTAACTATCTTATACATTTTAAAATTACAGCATAAATATATGCACCTCAACTCTCAGCAATCTCAGCAGCTTTAACAAACTGAAAAAAAAAAGGGCTTTACAGTATGCTTGAAAGGTGAAAAATATGGCTCTGGCAGAGCTGGGGGAGCAAGCTGCAAAACAGAGGACCACTCACAGAGAATGTCCTGTCAGCAGCTCCCTCTTCTTTATATTGAAGGAGCTCCATCTTGAGCCCCTCTGCTAATCTTAACTGTGGCAGAATACCAGGGGAAAGAAGCTAGTCTCTCCCAGACCATTTAGGGTTTTATATATTAAAACCAACACCTTGAATTCCACCTGGAAGCTTATTAGAAGACTGTGCAGATCATAAGATGTTCTTTATAAGCTGTCTTCAACGTTCTGTTAGCTTCAGCTTCTGAATGGTCCTAAGGTGTATCCCCATGGAGAGCACACTACAGCAATCTAATCTTAAAGTGACACCGGCATAAATAATTGTGGCTTGGTTTGCATTGCAGATAAAAGAGCACATTCATCTTGGCAGGTGCAGATGGAAAAGGGTGCCATTAGCTACAAGCACTACCTTGGCATCCTTGAGCAGTCCAAGATCTAACATCACCCTCAAGTTGCACACCTGTTTTGCAAATGGAGATCACTCTCCTTGTATGAGAGACACTGATACAAATTCCATCAACTCTTCTGGAAGTTTCCTTCAGCCCACAAATATTATCTCAATCTTGCCTGCAACTAACTAGCTTTCATCCATGCCCCAAGTTCAGCTAGGCATTGGGTAATTCGTTCCATAGCTTCTTATAAATACTGGATGTGTATATAAACTATGTATAATGTAACTAAACAATTTTATTTGCTCTTCCCATATTATAATAGCAATACTTATAAGAAAAAAAATGTCCTTTATATCTTTCTAGAATGCCAGCTAATGAAAACAGAGCGACCGAAGCCAAATACATTTATTATTAGATGTCTTCAGTGGACAACTGTCATAGAGAGGACATTTCATGTAGACACTCCAGAGGAACGGTGAGGAATGCTATGTCTTCCAAATTCTTGGGCAGAAGTTTCAGCACATCTACCAGTATGGCACAAGTCTTGATTTTGATTACTACATAATCTGATTATTTGTGTGCAATTATTTTAAGAATTTATATATTAGCCTTTGTAAAATATTCCTAGTTCGTATCAAGTATACGATAAGAACTTTATATAACTTAAGGGAAAGAATGTGCTCAGCTTATCCAAAGTTGTGTCATGACATGTCTCTGAAGTGTTACATCTTCAGCAACATAAACCAAATTTGAAACACATTTTTTTCTCTCAGTAGCTCTGAATTTCTTTTCATTTCAGTATATCTTTTGTTTTGTCAGAAAATGCAATATTCTATGACTATATCTTAAGTTATAATTACAATTCCTTGTTAGAGTAGATATATACACATTTATTTAAGTATAAGAATAAGAATGAACTTTTCATTCGCAAGACAAGTGTGTAGGAGACATGAGATGAGGTGCCATGTAAGTATCATTACTTAGCTGTATTGTGATCCTTGTTATTTTTAGTGCCCACTTCCAGTGGAGATTAATACCATGGTTTGGCATTATTTTAGAAATTGCATAGCTACTAGCTTTCCTTTCAGTCTTGTTAATATTATATTAGTATAGATATATACGCACATTTAAAGGTAGTTAGATTGATTTAAAAGCCCAACATTGCCTTCTATTGTGCAATTCTTGTTTCTTAGTGATATTCCTTTAAAAAGCCCATCAAGAAACATAGACAGTATAGAGATTGCAGAATACTGCCTACCCTAAACCCTGAGCTATACTTTGCCTCATTAAGATATTTAACTTGCTATTAAAGTATTTACAAAATCAAACGCACATAATTATTGTGATATAATCTACCATGCACATATATCCTATGCTGCTGGATCTAGAGCATGTACCAGTTGCCAGACTATGTAGTATATGGGAGTAAATTGAAGCAAATTACTTCAGTAGTTCCTTTATTATGTAGCATAATAACTTTGCAGGTAAAATACTACTACTATGTGTGCATTCATTAGAAAATATTTGGTTGCAGAAGGGGTCAAGCCTTGTTAGTTTTTATTAATAGGAATTTGGGTTTATTCTTGATAGGGAAGAATGGACAGAAGCCATCCAAGCTGTAGCAGACAGGCTTCAGAGGCAAGAAGAGGAGAGAATGAACTGTAGTCCAACATCACAGATAGACAATATAGGAGAGGAGGAGATGGATGCTTCCACAACCCATCATAAAAGAAAGGTAACCGGATACAGAGATAATTGATAAGATTCTTAATATGTAAATAGCTCGTGTACAGTTGTGTATTTGTATAGACGCAATATGCAAAGACAGTTATTTATAGAAAAGTTTGTTTACCCTAAAGCATGGAAGTATACGATTCTTTTATTAAAGCTGAACACCTCTGGTTTCGTTATTTTAATATAACTCACTCTTTGAGCCCACAGTTCGCTCTTTCAGGCAACTGATGCCTGTGCCAGGGTTTAAAAAATTATCAACTAATTCATTATACATTTTCACATTTTCCCTTTTAGTTTTTTTACTTTTCTAGAAATTTGGAAATAGGGGCTGCCCTAAAGAAAAACTATTTGCCTTTCTCATGCAAATAGTCCCATTTAAAGAAATTTATTATTTGCATGAGAAAAGGAAGTAGGATTTGGCTCTTAATGACTTTCGTCTTTCACAGAGAGCAAAATATCTGTGCTCTAGTTTTTAATAAGGCAAAACCCAGGTCCTGCTATGTGCAGCTGTAACAATCTCTTCATCATGTATCCTCAGGAAGGTTTGAATCCTGAGCTTTTAGCATTGCAGCACAGACTTCTACCAGTTATGCTCCAGGACAAACTACATCAGTTAACAGGAAGAGTCCTATGTCAACCAGCCACTAGAGGTGGAGATATAACATAATGAAACAGTGGGTTACCTATACATGATTTAGCACACTTTTACAAACAGCATGCCCAAAGATATGGCAGGGTCCTTCTGATAGGAAATGTGGCTAAATTGAAGGGTTTCGGGTCTGCCTGGCTAGAGATCTGAGTACTATTCCCAGTTTATGTAACTTCTCAGTGGAGTATAAGACATTGCATATCAATAAGAGTTGTCAACAGTACAGAATTATTAACACAATTTATAAGAAGTGCATTTGAAACTCATGGTCTCCCTTGTCACTGTGCAGTACATCTTTCCATAGTCCAAAAGGGATGGGAGGGAGTAGGAGGAGGGAAGATTAATTTTTTTTCTGTGTCCTATTGAGAACATGAGCTCTCTGTGAAATCTGAAGTCAGATGCCTGAGATGAGTGCATGTACAGTGTTACAGAATGTTGAGGGATTTTGGCAGCAAGTCTAAAGCAAGCTGTACAAAGCTAACCTCAGATGGGAAATTTTTTTTTGGTACCCAATAACTCAGCTGTATCTGAATAGAGTTTTTTGAGGCCTGTAAAGGGCACATCCATGACCCTATGGCTATTTCTCTGCCAAAATTCAAAGAAAGTTTCAAGAATTTTTTTAAAAGTGAAAAATTTAAAGTAACCTTAATACAGGGTGTATCGTCACTTTCCCTGTATGTCCATAGAGTCAGCAGCCAGCAGTCCTGAATACTATAGTAATGTTAATCATTCAGAATATTTTTTCTTGCTTCTTTTATTAAAGACTTTTCTGTAGGAAAAAAGATAGTATTCACTGGTTAGAAATCAGTATAGACATATGATTTTGTGACGGTCTTATAGTTGTTGGTATACTTAGAACCACAATTTATAACCATATAATCCATCTATCCTGTTATTTTTTTTTCTATATGGGTTTGTTTAACATCAGGGGTTTGTTGTACAATATGTCCTACACACAGAAGCTTTGTCACATGATTCTACATCTAAGCCCAATGAATTTTGCTTGTTCCTGCTCCATATGGTACACTTATGAGCATAAGAACATAATCAGATTAAGAAACAAATACACAGAAATGGGACTACTCTGCTCTAGAAATGTAGTAAATTGAGTCTGTAAATAAAATGATCTTTAGAGTACGATTTAATTTTGATAGAAGTGGCTCCATCATCTTCAGTCTGGGTACTTCTGTAAATCAAAGGTGGTGCTTTTCATAAATAACTTTTAAAATCTTAAAGTATATTGTAGCTATAAAATGCTAATACCATCACTAGAATCCTGAAATACAGTATGCTAGATTAGGATATGAAGATTGTTTTTGTTCCTCTATGCACTTGTTCCTTATGGGCAGGATCTTGCTCTCATTGAAATCAATGGCAAAACTCTTGTTGATTTAAATAGGAACAGAATCAGTCCCTTTATGCACAGAGTATATTCTTATGAGTTTTTCACAACTTGTTGTAAAGCCTATTCTCTTTCTCATCCTTCAAATAAAACATCAGTAGTGGAATCAATCAGCTCTATACAAGGATTAACTATGTGAACCTTTCTTAGTTATTTTGGCTTCCAACAACAGAAGTATGGAACCTGCAACTCTGCTCTCTCCATCTTTCCCTTACCTCATAAATTTGTTCTTCAGGATGTAGAATGAGTAAGAAGTAAGAAAAAAAAAATAGGACCAGGACACTGGAGAAATAGGAGGTGAGGGTGAGGGACAAGAGACGAGAACCTCATCTAATCGATGGAAGCCCCTCAAGAGTCTAATTCCCTAAAACCCTCAGGTGAATGGATATTTGCCCCTTTACCCAATTCTTTCATTCCTCTGGTTGAGGGGTGCTTCTTCAATCTCCCAATATCCAGCCATTGTATTCCTTGGCAGGCCTCACTGTGTTACTCTGCACTGTTTGCCATCTCTAAGTCCTCTGGTAAACTCAGTAAGAGAACAGGAAGAGACGTTTGTCTTCACCACTAGATCTATGACCATGGCCTGCTGTTAAGTCACTACTCAGAATCCTCCAAGGCTATTGCCTTCCTTTGTAATATCTGCTTTGATTCGGCATGTGTGAAAACTACATCCATGATAACACTGATTTTAGTTTCATTTGTGGAGATATTAGATTACAGATTCTTACAATAGGACTGGCTTTCTGCCCTTCCCTTCATACCTATAACTGTCTTCATCTAGACCAAAGTGTTTCCTTCTTCATTGATGCTGTGCTAACTTTCTGAATGGATTTTGATAAGACTGTATTCACCCCAGTCTGTGATGATTCTGAGGGAAGAGATGATCCCTTTTGTGGAGGCTTTGGCTAGTCACACAGATTTCTGACTTTTAGAAGTGGTATATGTATTTAGTGAAAAGAAGAGATCAGGACTGAAAGTCCAAGGATCTAATTCCTAATATACATATTTTGTTAGTTTTATTTAATTTTGGTCATGCTTCCTTGGAACTCTTTTTTGAAGTAGCTGAGACATTCATTGTTATCAAATATTGTTTAGTATTGTTTAACTGATGGTGTGCTTGGTGCTGTATGATATAGAAAACAAAAGTCAGTCTTTCCCTGGAAGAGGTTGTAGGTTAATTTCTGTTGGACCTCAAACCCTAGGGTTACCATATTTCAGCAAGCAAAAAAGAGGACGGGAGGAGCCCAGCCCTAGCCCCGCCCCTGCCC